CCATTGCGCTGGTTTGTTTCTCCATCCGCACACGCGCATCATAGCTAGCTTGGAACTCAAACAAAAAACGGCGCGACCCCAATTACTGGAAAGCTTCCTGTTGCAGCGGGAGGTACCCTTTCTGAAACACCGAAAACGATAGGATTGGGAACAAACAACGGAAATCAAGTTTTGAAATCCTGTGTGCGAAACTACGCGGAGAGGGCCGAACATCTTCTGCACAGAATCACGGGAGAGGAGTATTACTCAGAATCTGCAATTTCCAAAGCAGTGCTTGTACTTAAGGTTCTGACTTAGTCTGGAATGAACTGGGCCTGGGTGTCGGGCCAACTGGCGTGTTATCGCCGTCGCCGCCCGTCGCCGCCCGTCGCCGCCGTCCGTCGCCGCTGCTTCCGGGCCTGGGTGTCACTCGCCGCGCTTGTCATCGCCGACGCCGCCGTCCGTCGCCGCTCAATTACGCCTGGGTGTCGATCGCAGCGTTTGTTGTCGCCGTCGCTGCCCGTCGCCGCCTCGTCACCGCCCGTCGCCGCCGCCCCGTTGCGCCCACCTCCCCGTTGCATTGCAATCGTGTCCACCTCCCCCCCACCCGGAGTTAACGGCCCACCTCTTTCGCATTGCAAGTTGCATACGATTCTGCCCAATCGCCCATCCTGTAAAATGGATCCATACCATCCCAGGCAGGCCAATACCGCCCCCCCTCCTCCTCCGCCAAAACTTCAATGCGCGCACACTCGTCGATCAAAACTTGGGCGAAGTGCACACGCGCGCGTCGTCGCGCGCGCACGCCGAAATCCTTCAACGACACAAGGTGTCGTAAAGACTTCCGAACCGCGGGTCAAGAAAACATAGTTAAACAAAAGACACCCAGTTTCACAACAAGAGTTTTCAAAAGTAGCCTGCGCCCGCGCTGTTGCGAATTCTGGAGAAAACCATTGGTTTTTCCATCATCGACATAACATGCTACCAAATTGGCCTTTCGCGCGTGCATATCGACATCGTTCGAACGCCCTTGCGCGCGTGCTGTCGCAATAATCCCTTGCAAAAAAAAGACGGCGTGCATGCGCGCGCGTCGCCGCGCGCATACTGAAGTCCGTCACGAAATTGAGTCGCGTAAGGCTGTCAAAGACGAGTATCCCGGAATCCTCCTTCTATACTTATACATACAAATACATACAAACATACATACCTAATACATACATATACATACACATATACAAATACAAATACATGTACATATGCATGTACACATACATAAACATGTAGATGTAAGAATACGAAGACGCATACAATTTCAAATGCACATGCATATACATCTACATATACGTATGCATACACATATACACTTGCATGCATGTATACAGATACATACACATAATCATATGCATGCGCAAATGCCTATACTTAGAATACCATGTCTTCTATATTTGTACGAATATATATATATATATATATATACATACATACATATATAGATAAACGTATACATATACACCAACAGTCATAAATGTAGCTATATACTTACACATCCGTATTCATATATGTGTTGTTTGCAACGTTGGAACATCATTTTTCGGAGAATCCTGAGCTCGCGGCCTTGCGGGTCCCTACACAAACCATGTTTCCTCAACATGCTCATCAAATTCTGCATGTCGAACCCATCAGAAACCTTCATCGTCGACGCGAAGACATCGTCATCGCTATCGGCGGGCGTGGTCAACATCGGTGCCGTTCTTGTCGTTGCCGTCGTCATCGCCACCATCGTCACCATCATCGCTACTCTCATAATCGTGTCAACCATTGTTGGCGTCGCCATGATACCGCGCCCGCCCAAGTCACCGACTCGCACAGAAGTGCCCGGTGGGAAGTCCCAAACGGTCAGCGCCACCGCGGCCGCGCCGGTCGAGTCAGACTAGCTGGCCGCTCTGCGCGCGAGCCTGCACCCGCAAGCGCGGCCGCACCGATGCGCCAGCCAGCGCCAAGCACTCATCGCAATCACCGCCGCATGGGTGTTGCAAACCAAATTGCGGGTATGTGGGTGGGGTGTTTGCAAGGGTGCGGGATTGATCATCTCATTTGTAAAATTAACTAGCACAACATAGATTGCACCACATACCTTACACCACATCGTCTACACCACAGGCATTGCACCACATACATTACACCACATGGCTTGCACAACGTATCACTTCGTAGGTTACACCACGTATCTGACGCCACATAGACTGCACCACAACGTTCAACCCCATAAGCCAGACCACATAGATTGCACCAAATAGGCTGCACCACACATGTTGCACCATAGCAATATAGATGCACACATATAGATATACATACATACAAATTACAACACGTTGTTTGCACCACACCACATGCCCTAAATCAAATAGATTGCTTAACATCGGTTGCACCGCATCGCTTGAACCAAACATATTGTACCACCGAGTCTCACTTCTCTATTAAAAATTAGGCTTTACCACCACCACCCCCTGGTTCTGCCCCAACCGTTCATTCTGACCCAACCGTACATTCTGAACGTACAATGATTCTGCCCCAACCGTTCATTCTGAACGTGGAATCCTACCATTCCCAGCCCAGCTGGTATCGCCCCCCCCCCCCATATTTGACAAACAATGCTATGCGCGCAAACTCGTCCCCTAAATCATGTGCACATAAGTATACACACACATCTATAAGTATATTGTATAAAACAGATATCCATGTACAACGTCGCATCAGAAACATATTCTTATACAAAAGAAGGCGACGCGCGCGTTGCCGCGCGATTTTTCGAGAATCCCTCAACCAGCTTCAGTTTCGTAATGGCTATAAAACCGGTTACACGCAAACATGTTATAACAACGAACATGGTTTTGCAACATGATTCAAGACAGTCGGCGCGCGCGCTCTTACAAATTTTGATGGAACCCATCGGCTTTTCAATATGTCCATCAAGTGCGACCGAACGGGCCCTTCGCGCGCACATGTCGGCATCATTCGAACGCCCTTGCGCGCGCGCGGGGGGGAGGCCAAAATCCCTGTCAAATAAAACCATGCGGGCCATTCGCAACCGTCGGGCGCACGCACATGTCGAAAACCGTCCAAAAACATGATCAACGAAATCCTTCCAAAACCATTATCACCAAAACCTTCGGCAACCATTGGCTTTGTACTCGTCATTGTCATCGGCATCTTTACTATTATCATCGTGTTTGCCGTTGTCGACGTCGCCATGATACCGAATCTGCCCGAATCACCGATTCGCACGACACTGCCCGCGCGTCAGCGCGGCCTGCGAGACGCGTTGAGAAGTCCCAAACGGTCAGCGCCACCGCAGCCATGCCGGTCGAGCCACACTAGCTGTCCGCTCTAACCGCGAGCCTGCACCCGCTAGCGAGGCCGCACCGATGCGCCCGCCAGCGCCCAGCAGTCATCGCAATCGCCGCCGCATGGGTTTTGCAACCCAGCTTGCGAGTGGGATCACATAGCTTACACCGCTCACAACACGAGGAGTACGTGAGTTCCACCCAGATTAAAGTGCACCCCCTAGCTAACCACAAAGATTACACCACTGATACTGCGTCGCCAAACATTGCACCGCACCTATTGCACCACCTAGGGCGCCAGAGCACACTGCTTGGGGCCAACGCTGGATAACATGGCTTAGCTGAAGAGAACGCAGGGAGTAGGAGGTGGGAGGAGGCGGAGCCAGAGGAGCCACTGTCGTATCAAACAAAATTCAAGGCTGGACCCGATTCATGTGCGTTCTTCCTGGGAATGTGTTGGGCCCCATGCTTTGAAAACATGCACTGCGCTGCTCAAGACTGACCCGTGGCCCACAACAGGAAATATCAGCACACGCGAGTTCTCAGTGTATGCGCCTGTGTTGCGGCTCTTGCCTAAACAGTAGCTGTGGCTTCCACATGCACGGCAACATCACTTTCCAAGATTGCACGCTCATCCTTGTCATAATGGGACTATTCCTCCCCCTGCTCCTGCTCCTGCTCCTGCTCCTGCTCCTGATCCTCCTCCTACTCCTCCTCTTCCTCCATTCTTTTCCTTAGACATAACTTCTCCCTGTCGCACCACCAGGCCGGTCGAAAGGGCGGGCCGGGGGGTTCGCCTGAGACTTCCTCACCACTGACGACCCTGATGTTTAAAGTTGACGACAGTTTCACAGGTGGAAGGCGGGTGGTTTTCAAAATGTGGCTCTCGCCTTAGCGACGCGCACATTCGCTTTAAACATTTGCAAGAGCTTCACGGATTGAGGGCGGGTCGTTTCCAAAATGTAGCTCTCGCCCTAGCGCGGCGCGCATTCGTCATAAAAGATTGCTTGAGCTTCACGGATTGAGGGCGGGTCGTTATAAACATGTGTTTCTCGCCTTAGCGCCGCGTAAATTCGTTTCAAACCTTCCAGGCTTGAGGGCGGCTCCTGTCAAAATGTTGCTCTCGCTTTAGCGCCGCGCACACTCGTCATAAAATTGCAAGAGATTCACGGATTCCCATTGTCAGCTTACCAGAAAGTGTGTTTCGGAACGACTCCAGACTATGAGGGTGCAACAGGTACGTTGGTTCGCGGTGTCGAAGTCCCAGGAATGGCGTTCTGGCATGACTCAGGATCGCCAAGACGCAACACTTAGGTTGATCCGTGGCGCTGGAGTCCCGAGAATAATGATTTGGCACGCTTCAGGCTCGTCAAACGGTCGTCTTCTAAAGAAGCAGTTCCCTCGGTGGAAATGAGCCACTGTAGGGGCCTCTGAAGAGAGAGAGCTTGGATGGAGGGTTGATTCCAACATCGTTGATGATTCTTGGGTTTACACTGGTTCTCCGCCTCCGCCTCCACCTCCGCCTCCTCCTCCTCCTCCTGCTCCTCCTCCTCCCTTTCCTCCTCCTCCTCCTCCTCCTCCTCCTCCTCCTCCTCCGCCTTTTCCTCCTCCTCCTCCTCCGTCCCCAAATCCTGGTCCTCAGCCTTTCTTCTTTCGTCGCCCACCCCCCATCAGCTCCAGGATAACTTGGGTCGTTGCCTGGTACGACTTCCCGCCTGCCGGGAAAAAGTTATCGGCGATTGTGTCCAGAGCCCTGATGGCGATAAAAGACCTCCCACCCTTCAGAAGACGCATGCTGTCGACCAGGGTACTCTGCTCCATGGCCCATCCCTTCACTCGGCATGTGCTCGCTCCAAGATGATACACGGCGAAATCCGCAGCTGCGCTCTGCAACGCTGGACTCAAGCATCCACTGACCGTCCGTGCGCAAATACGGCGCTGCAGCTGGCAGGACCTGCGCCCGCGCACACGCAGTGCGCCACAATGAACAGCGATTGCCGCGGCCCTCTGGCAGCGCGCTGCGGGACCCGCCGAGACTTTCGGGAGACTCTTCCTGGGGGGGGATCCCATGGGGGGATAGGATCCCAGGGGGGGGGGCTCCCATAGGATCCCCTGGGGATCCCATGGAGAGTCTCCCGGGATCCCGAGAGTCTTTGCCAGGCTGGCCGGCGCGGGAAGCCAGAGAAGGCCGAAGACGACCAGCGCCTGCGGTCGGGAACTTTCGCACAGCGCGTCGCCGCGGCGGTCCCGGCGACACGCTGTGCCCCGCAAGCGGATAGAGTAACGCTCCGCTCCGCGGGGGGGGAGGCTGGAAAAAGTTCGGGCCGTTTTTTTGTGTTTTTTTTTCGCCGCCGCCCGCTAGAAAACCCAAGCTCCATGAATAACCACGCAAGCGAGCACTCCAGTGACTACCGGTGGCACCAGTGACCTTTCATCACGGGCGAGGAGGTTGCGAGCATGACTGTGGCAACCTAAACGGTCGCGGCCGAAGGCGGTGACGTTAACCCGGCCGGAGGCGGCAGTCGAATTTCAAGGACGTTGACGCTGACGTTCGGGAGCGGGCTCGCCGAAGCGCGGCGGGCCAGAGCCAGCGGAGCGACACGCGAAGCCAGAGCCCACGAGCGCACATACGGTCAAAACCGGTAGTGAGGATACTTTTTGATCTGCGGCCCCAAGGAAAAGTCCAGAGGGCGGGTCAATCGGGCTGACTGGGGCACAGAGCCAGATAATTTGCGAACCCAGCCGTCACTGTCGACAGCCGACCGCACATGCAAGCATGCCGAGCAGATAGTAAGGATACGCGATGCTGCTGCAAGCACCTTGGACGCCCATGTCGAAGCTTTTCGAGCGGGGCTGGCCATCGAGAGGGGTTGAGGACGGAGCGAGGAGGCGAGGATGCAAGGGTACCCTTCGGAAGGTGACCCATCCTTACTACCAGTTTCCACTGTGCGGCGTCTGCTCCTCCAGCGGCGTGGGCTCGAAGAGTGACAGTTTTGACCCCTCTGAAGACTTCCACGGCGGCCGCCATGCGCGGGCGCCTCACGATGCCGGCAGGCTGCCTGGCCACCTGGTCAGCTGCGTGTGTGCTTTCTCTTGACCGTTGGCCTTCCGCCCTCCCCTTCGCTGACACGGGAAAGGGCCTCCCGGACACCGACCTCCCATTGGATGAGGAATCCAGGGTCTGGGAACTTTTTTTTGGTCTGGCCATGGATATCACCGCCGCCCGTATCAGACAACGGATCGTCCAGGGTCTGAAGCCTCCTGGTCACCTTCCTCAACGAACGCCCCCCCACCCGAAATACTCCTCCGGGTCAGAACCCTCGAAGACCGGCTGGGGGTCAGAATTTGATGGACGCCCGCAGCAAGGTTGCGAGGCGGGGATTTATCCATACCCACCGCCTGGGAAACGGCGTCCTGGTGCCCCTGCGGGCGGTGGATATGAATACATTTTGGACCCCAGGAGCCCGAAAATGTATGTATATATATGTGTGTGTATACATATATATATATATGCATATCCATATCCACCGCCTGCGAGCTCCCCGAAAATTGATCCTCCAGGCGGTGGTCATGTATAAATTCCCACCTCGGAAAGGTGAGCCCCAGCGGGGGGAGTCGGATACCCCAGCACCGGTCGGACCCGCGTGGGCAAGGCTCGCACGCGGTCGCAGAATGCAGCGCCCCCACCCCATGTGGGCCAGGACGCCCGACCGAGCACGGCTCCGACCCTGGGCCCTCTCGAGGGGGGAGGGAAAGGAGGCCTCGAGGATCGAAGCGGAAGAGGGACAGAAGGAGGAGGAGGATCGAGGATCGAGGATCGAAGGAGGGGAGGATCGAGGAGCAAGGACCGAGGGAGGAGGAGGAGGAGGAGGAGGAGGAGGAGGCCCGCGCCCCCCGGGCCACCGAGGGGCGGTGCACTCCAGGGGCGGCGGGCCACGGAGACACTGAGACGCGCTGGGCCCCCCCTCGCCTCCCTCTCCCCGCCGCCCCCACTCTCCTCCTGCCCCCCCCTCCCCCTTTCCCCGCCGTTGCCCTGCTTGGCCCCACCCCCACCCCGCAGCCCCCCCATCCCCGTCCCCATCCGTTCCCCACTATAGTCCCCATCCCCGCCCTCTCCCCGCAGCCCGCCCCTCCCGTCGCTCGGCCTCCCCGACGCGCACTGGCGACAGAAGGTCGCACGCAACCCGACTGCTACCTATGCTATAGCGGCAACACTCCAAGGGCACTGGCCAGGGACCTGGACCCGGGAGTGCAACAACAACAACAACAACCACCACCACCACCACCACGACGACGACGACGACGACGACGACGACGACGACGACGACAACAACAACAACAACAACAACAACCAACAACAACAACCACAACAACAACAACAACAAACACAAAAACAAAAACAACAACAACAACAACAACAACAACAACAACAACAACAACAGCAACAACAACAACAACAACAACAACAACAATAATAATTCATGTTCCCCTCATGCGCGATGTTTCCACGCGAAGCATGCGACCATCATGATGACCATCCCCACCATGGGGGGTTATTGTTCTATAGCGGGGTCCGTTTTTTCCCATTCCCAGATATCTCGCCCAATGAGGTCTTGCAAACACCTCCTCCAAAGAATTTCAACCTATCCCACCTCGAAAACGCATGCCCGCGCCTTGCTGCGCCGATGCGAAGCCGCCAGTGGAGCCCCAGCAAAGGGTAAAGCCCAAGGAAGTATCGAGCGACAGGATTGCATTGGTGGGGATGGAGGCTGTCGGCGGCGCGGCAAGGACCTGGCCCTGAATAGAAAGGGAAGAAGTCTCGAGCAGGGCCGCTGTTGTTGCTGGGAGCGGCGCCAATGATGCAGAGAGTAGGGCGCTAGTCCAGCGTAAAACAAAACGAAGTCTCGAGCGGGAACGCTGGTTTTATTGGGACGGCGGTTGTCGGCGGCGAGGAAGAACACCGCCTTGAGTAAGAAGGGAGGAGGCCTCGAGCGGGAGCCGTGGTTTTGTCGGGACGGGGGCTTTCGGCGGCTGGGCAGGCGGCGAGGAACAGAACCGTCCTGAGGAAAAACGGAGGAAGCCTCGAGAGGGAGCGTTGTTCTTGCTGGGAGCGGCGCCAATTCAAAAGAGAGCATCCAGGGTAAAACGGGAGGAAGTCTCGGGCGGGAGCGCTGGTTTTGTCGGGACGGCGGTTTTCGGCGGCGAGGAGGAGCACCGCCTTGAGCAAAAAAGTGAAGAAATCTCGAGCGGGAGCGTTGTTGTTGCTGGGGGCGGCGCCGATGAGAGAAAGACTAGCCTAGCGCGCCAGTCTAAGGTAAAACGGAAGGAAATATCGAGCGGTAGCGCTGGCTCTGTTGGGACGGCGGCTGTCGGCGGCGAGCAAGAGCACCGGGCCTGAGCAAAAAAGGAGGAAGTCTCGAGCGGGAGCGTTGTTGTTATTGGCGGGCCCGTTTTGGCGCCACCCCACACCGCTCGAGCGTGAGCCTCATTTTCAAAGAAAATGTAGCCGGCGCCGAGGCGAGAGCGTCAAAGTGCCTGGGAGGTCCAACGTTTAACATTCATTTTAAAACTTTTCGCTCTTATCAGCTCGCGTGCCACTCAACACGTATATCCCGAACCCTCGACACCCGCCCTCTTCGTCTTCGACCGTACCCCCTTGGGGGTATATCTGTCTTACCTTCAACGTGTATTTCGCGCAGCCCCTGAGGCAGGGGAAGAGAGGACGGATGGAAGGAAGGGACAAGGGGGATGGAGGAGGATGAAGCACGCGAGAGACTAGGAGGATGGGGGCCAGGAGCAGAGAACACGTGGCAGAACCAGACGGGCAGATCGGGCGGGTAGACCCTACCAGGCGGGTCCGAAAGGAGGGCCCAGGCGGCCAGGTCGAGCAGGCGGGTTGCTGAAGCGTGCTTCCTGCATGAATCACGAGGAAGTCTCGAGCGACAGCTCGATTCCCGAATCAATCGCGAGGAAATCCACAGCGAGAGCGTGACTCCTGAATGTCCAGGGCGCGGCGTCTGAAAAAAATGCGAGGGAGTCCCACGCTAGAGCGCGATTTCTGCAGAAATTGTCAGGAAGTCCCGCGCGGGAGCGCGATTTGGGAATAAGTTGTGAGGAAGTATCAGGCGGGAGCCGTTGTTGTTGTTCGGGGGCCAACAACGCAGTTTGACCCTAGCGATTTCTTTGATTACCAAAAAAAGTGCGAGTCCCGGGGGATGCACTTCATTTGGAAAACACAGTGGTCACTAGAGGGGGAATCTACAATATTTATTATTCAGTTATGAGTTCAACAACAACAACAACAACAACAACAACAACAACAACAACAATCATTTTACCCGAACGCGTGGTGTTCTCCCCAGTGCCAGGGTTTTCATACGACACCAGGCAATACCCCCACTTCGTGGGGGGACATTACAAGCTCTACCAAATATCCAAACGACTCTTCGCGACCACCCAAACCCAGCTTCCCGCCCTATGACGTTGGGACACTTCACTTCGTGGCGTGCGGACGACCGTGGCTACTACACTGGCGTGGGGTACACACCCACAGAACCCAATGGTTTTTGGAGATTTCGGCGTGCGCGCGCGAAGAAAAAACGAATGTGTCCCGCATGGTATTATTTGACAGGGATGATGGCCCTGGCAGGTGCGCAACCGTTGTCGCAGAAGTTCGAAAAAGTTGCTCGCAAAAGCCCGTTTGACAGAAATGTTTAAAAAGTGTTGGGTTTCCTACGAATCCGCAAGAGCGCGCGGGATGAGATTTTGACA